ACAGGAGGATCACTATGAATCTGAGCTGCCTAATGAGATTCTGTACCAAATACATTATAAATAAATAAATAAGTTAATTAATTCTCATTGACATAAGATGATTGTCTTATTTGGATGCTGTCCTATGGCTTCTGCATTGGTTCACATGGCAGGGACCACATCTCAGAACAGAGGTGATCTCAGTTCTGGCCATCATCTTTCATAGATCATTTGTCATGATAGCAACTGGACTTACACCTGAGCTGACTGAAGAAGCAACTCCTATCAGTAGAGTTTACCTTCCCTCATTGAAGGTAGATGATTAGCTTACTTCCTGAGAAATTTTATAGCATATTTGTGCTTTTTGCTTTAGCCATTTAGGTCATTAGTCACATGTGATTTTTTTATTCTGCCATGAAATATGAAAAACAATTACAATTTTATTGACAGGATAGCTCTGGAGATGGTAAACAGTTAAGCCAAGCCTGAGAACTATCTTTATAATAATCAAAAGAGATGGAAGAAGGAAGAAAAATGGAGGAGATTAAAAAAGTCCCCCAGAACTAGTAGAAAGTAGAGGTTCTTTAAGCCACTGACAATATTATAAGATGATATAAAGAAAAGGCTGTGAGAGATTTTACTTTTATATTCTACCAACCCTGTATGAGATCATTATTGAATTAAAACATCTTCATACTCCAGTAGGGATGGACAGTTTAATGTCTAAATTTGTGAATAGGAAATAGCAAGTCCTCCACCAAAGTATGTGAATGAGTAAGAAAATTTCATCCTTTGTGATTTGTATTTCTATGTTTAAGTCTTATTTGTTAGCATAAAATATGGCTTAATTATGGATGTGAATGACTACTTTATGAAGATAGAATTTTAAAAAGTGTTTATTTTAAAGACAAAGACACAAAAATAAAATTCCAAAACAATATGATAGGAGGATAACAATGGTTACTACATTACATATTATTAGAAGATAGAAATTTGTCTTTTGTTCTTGCTGATGTTTTTCTCTTTCCCAAGCTAAGAATGCAGTTGACATCCACCTCTCTTTAGGTTTTTGTTTGCAATAGTTTTGGCTCAGTGAGAATCATGTAAACATTAAGGGTTATAGATGCAGGTGCTTGGCATTTAACAGTAGAAGCTGTGGAATTCAAGAAGAGGGGAAGATATGAAATGAAAGATAGGGTGGGGATAGGGGTATTGTGGAGATGGATTTCTATGCTGAGCAGAAATTCTAGTATCCTGGATTAGGAAGTCCCAAAAACTGTGGGCTTGGGAGCTACAACACAAATGTCCTGTGCCTTCAGACCTCATGGGCATGGACAGTGAACTTACTGGGGACAGTGTGTGCAGAGGCATAGAGGACTTTTTTCTGACTTCTACTAGATACGTTCTGGGATCTCATCAAATATGGAGAACCGAGAACTGTATTAAGAAATGAGATTGACTTTCTCCCTACTTGAATAGTTGGGTGTTCAAAGATAAAACTGTTTAGAGTAAATATTAGTGTCACTCTACTAAGCTTCAATGGTACCATCTGTGAAAGTACCTGCATGGGCAATGACCCACTCATAACATAAAACAAACAAAACAATTATTCACACAACATGAGAACCAGATGTGACTTGTATGCCCATCCAGTCCTCATTCTTCCTCGTTAGATTAGGAAGCTGTTATGCTTTGTGTCTAGTTGTGCCCCCAAAGCCTCACACAGTCATGGGGTGGGGACTTCTAGAATTTGAGATTAACTCATGACCCACTGGGATTATGGATCTTAGTACTGCTGGGATTATGAAATTACTTCCTCCAGCCTGGGGCAGGTAGCCTGAATGCAATTTAAGGGAGGCAGACTTTCTCTCTGTAGCCATTGTTGCTGCTATTCCTCCATTTTTGTTCTCTGTTCTTTGCTGCCTCCAGGAACTGCAGCCCTCTGCCATGTGCCACACTGCCTTGGAGCCAGCTGAGTATGGACTGAAACCTCCAGTAATTGTGAGCTAAATAAACCTTTCCTTCCTTCATTTTGGGTGTCAGGTATTTGTCCCAGCAACAAGAGAAGAGTAACAGAGATAGAAGCTAAGACTGAAGGTATGAAAGTCTATGTTTCAGTTTGTTGGCCCAAAGCCAGTGAAGTGTTGAGGCAGGAGGCTGACTCTCAGTCGGTTTTTCCTTCTACCACGGCACTTAGAAAATTCAGAAAAGATTGAGGATACAGCTCTGAGGTGGCCACAGTCACTTAACATGTTTGAGGCTTTGGGTTCAGACACTATACCCCCCACCTCAAAAAATTAGATACTTCTGTGGCAATTAAAACACTTCTTGTACCATGGCCATGATGACCTTTTCCAATATAAAAACTCATTTAAAATGAAATAAAAACATTCCCATTCAAACTGTATAAAAATATAACTCTGATAATGGAAGTTAAAACAAAACAACCATGGATTTTTCCAGTTGCTTCCCCAATGACCTGAAAGGTTCATATTCGTTTCTGATAATAAAACACCCCTTCAAAGGCACTTAAAATATAAATATATGTATGTATGTGTGTTAGGTGCACATGTAGAAGTGTGTGAACTATCAAACACAGGGTGGGAACTGCTTGTGAGGGCTGTGCATGAGTGTGTGTGCCTATATATTAAACCTACTTAATAGCGAAATAAAAGTTATTTATAATTTCTTATTGTGTCTTTCCTTTAAGGGTCATCTTATCTAATACCACCTCTATGCTAACATTTCCCTGTATGTAGACTTGTCTAATCTATTGTCCCACTTTCTCATTCTTTGGTCTTTGTAAACCAAAAGCTTCTTAGTTCTCTCTCTGAACATCTCTGTCAAGGAATACAACTGTTCTCTGCAGAAGAGCCTCGCTCTGGCCTCTGGAGCAGTCTACACTCTTATTCAGTTTTGAGAAGTCCCGGGTAACCTGTTGGTCAAGCAGCTGTCCCTGGGTGGCTGTGGGTTCCAACTGTGCTCTAAGTGGGTCCAGAAAGAAAATGTGGCCAGTGGCCAACTCCTGTCCTTTGAATCCTTGGAATGCCTCATCCTTGGGAGATGCTATATCCCTGGAGTTTGTCCCTGCTTGTCTGCTGTTGTTCAGCCACCAGTTCAGATGTTCCTGTAAGACTCTCTCTGCCAGCAAGGCCCATGGCGAATGAGGATAAACAGCAGCACCATTAGGACTCCAGACACCAGGCAAAAGGCAATGGCAAGGATGATCCTTAAAACTGTAGGAAAATAGAAAAAGCATTAGTATAAAATTAGTGCATGGAGAAAACACGAAGGTTATACATGCAGGCTAATTTCTGCCTTAATTATAAACCTTAGAGGAATTTCTAAAAGCAGCCTTGATGTCAGTGTGAGGTAAAGAGCACAGGAGCAAGAGTCAGGAGGTGACTGCGGTTCCAATTCAGCATGTCAGTTGGTCCTCGGGTCCCAGCTCCCCTCTGTAAAGTGAAGGTAATTGAAAAGTAATTCCAAAGTTCTCTTATAGTGCTCACTTCATATATTTTTCTATAGCTACATTACTACTCAACTACAATCAACTGAAACTAAAAAAATGGGAACCTTTCTATTTTCGAATTTGATTTTCAAGTTAGTCTATTTTACATGAAAAACCTTGAGCTTACATTCACCATAGGAAGCATTTTTAACATAATTGTGCCTTATTATTAATTTCTCTCAATCTCTTTCTCTATCTTTGTCTCTGTCTTTCTCTATTCCTTTGATAATTAGCCATAAGAAAATATGTAAGGGTCTTTTAAAAAATGAGATCCTAATTCATTATTTCATTCAAAAAGTTACTCTTTCTATACACACCCTCATCCACTCTAATATACACATCCTAAATACCTGTGTATCTCATATCCAAATGTCTACATTTTCATTGTAAAAATACTGGGTTGCTAATTGGCTTAGACAATGGGAGAGTCAACATCTCTGCAAGCCCTATTGGTCCATGCAACACAGATGAAAATCACTGACTTAGCCCAATGTCATTATGGGAGAGAGGAAGCAAAAGACAAGCAGGAAGATTAGATAATTTAGTTGATGTTAATCAGATAATCTTATTTGATTTAAACATGGGATTTTATCAATCTAGTGATTTTTAAAAAGAATCTACTTGCAAACGACTTCCAAACTTTTCAAATATCAAGTCTGACCTCTCGCTCAAGCTCAAGACTCTTAGATCTTATAGTCTCCCCTTATCCCCAGCTTTACTTTCTGCGGTTTCAGCTACCTGTATTTGTCAATTATTCTCTGAAAATAGTAAACAGAAAAATTCCAGAAACAAACAATTCTTAGGTATTAAATAATGCACTGTTCTCTTATTTTATGTTGTATGTGGTTTATATCTAGACGTCCTCCAAGAGCTTTATGTGTTCATAGAGGGGGATTTGAAAAAGAATTGGACAATGTGGGTACTATAGCTGATACTGTTAGGAGGTGGAGTCTGGTCAGAAAAGGTCTCACTGGGGTTGTGACCAGTAGGTGTCAATCTTTCTTCCTGGTTCCTCCCTGCCTTAGTTACTTTTTAATTGCTGGGAGATGATACCCAATATCCCCTAAAGTTAAAAGAGGAAAGATTTCTTTCATCTCATAGTTTATAGAGCTATCAGCTCATAGTTTGCTGGTTTCAAGGACAGGATGGTAGAAGGACATGTCAGAGGAGAAACAGTCCATGGCAGAGGAGGTAGGAAGCAGCAAGCAGCAAGCAGCAAGCCTCCCTTTCCCTTTTATTCCATTCAGACTATAAGATATTTGATTGGTGCCAGCTACCCCATGGAAGGCCTTCCCGCATCCACACCCAGAACTATGATAAAGGCTTCATGGAGTAATTTAGTTATCATATACCCTTAATCCACATTCACATACCTTAGATCCAGCCACCTCTGAAAAGCTCTATCTATGAATGCATGAGGTTTTGGGGGCACCTACATACAAGCCATAACATTCCACATTGACACCCCAAAAGACTCACGTACATCTCTTAATGCAAAATACATTTAGTCCATCTCTAAGAGTTGAAAAAATCCTAACAATTTCAGTATTTCTGAAAAGTCCAAGTCCAAAGTTTCCTCTGAGATATAAAGCAGAACACTTAGCAGTAAGACTCTACAGAAATGAAAGAAAGTTTAACATTTCCAGTGTGCAGTGGCACAAGGTTAATATTCTTACTTCAAAAGGTACAAATAAAGGGATAGAACAGAATAGGACCAAACCTAGGCCAAAATCCAGCGGAGCAAACATTAGATCTTGCAGTTCCCTGTCCAGCACCTGGGGAAATCTGTGGAAGGATATGAACTCCAAAAGAATTGGAGTAGCTCTGCCTCTAAGGCAAAGCAGTTGTGATTCTCACGGCTTCTATCTTGGCTGGTTTTGCTTACTCCTTGTGACCTTCTATGTAACTGGCTTTTTCAACCTTATGGAGTCTCTGTCGCACCTTCAACTTCACACTCAGCTTCACAAACTGTCCTCTCAGGGGCACACTTCTTGACCTTTTATGCCTTTTTTTTTCAGAACTGGGGATTTAACTCAGGCCCTTGCACTTGCCAGGCAAGTGCCTATTCTACTGAGCCATCTCCCCGGCCTATGCCTTCTTCTTAAATCTGGGTGGAAACTTCTCTGATCCCACAACTCTTGCATTCTGCATGTGCCTACAACCAGCACCATGAGAGTAGCTCCACCAGGTCTGCCACCAGCTGGAGCAGTAGCCAGGCTTTCTTCTCTCCTGGCTCTAGGAGCCAAGTGCCTGGATTGCTGAGTGCTATGAATCAAATCATGAGAAACAAATTCTTTAGGCCACCACCATTGTGGAACACAGTGTTTTGGAGCTCTCTTCTTAAAATAGTCTTTACCTTTGCAGTTTTGAGGTTGCAAAGAGTGGAGTCCTACTGATTCTTATGATGTGCTCAGGCCATTTTTTTATATTGTCTATTTCCAAAGTATGCATCTTTTTATTGCTAACCTATTCCACAACCAAATTTTCCTGTGCTTCATTTTTGCAGTCCACAGCTTTACTGAAGTTTCCTTTCTTGCTGTCTTAGTTATTTTTCTCTCATTGCTGGGACAAAATACCTAACACCCCAAATTAAGGAAGGGAAGGTTTTATTTAGTTCACAGTTTGTGAAGGTTTCAGTTCATACTTGGCTGCTCCAAGGCAGAGTGGCACATGGCAAAGGGCAGCTGTTCAAGGTGGCAGAGAACAGCAAAGGTAAAAGGGAGGAGCAGCAGCAGCATTAGTGGCTACAGGGAGCAAATCTGTCCCCTTATGATGTAGTCAGGCTATCTGCCCCAGGCTGAGTATAGCACTCACACCCATAATCCTAGCAGCATTCACACCCATAATCCCAGCCCTGGATCATGAATTAATCTCAAACTCTAGAAGTTCACCCTGTAACTGCATGAGGCTTTATGGAGACAACTAGACACAAACCATGACACTTCCCAAACTCAGAACATTTTAAAGAGCTCTTGTAGGCTGTTTGTTCTTGATTTTCAACATACATCTGGCTAAAAGTTCTCAACAGTAGCTGTGCCACCTACTTTAATACTGGACTGCTTTGATATTTCCTCTACCAGGTTAATCAGTTTGCAGCCCTTATTCTCTGTCCCCTGTAATGTCTCTGGACATGAGCAAAAAGTGCAGACAAATTTTTTGTTAAATAGTAACACATATTACATGGAGTCTAACTGCCAATGGAATCCTTCTTCACAACAGAAACCTTCTGAATTTGGTCTTTACCAGCTGTCTTTCTGTCAGAATTCTGATCTGAGCACTGACCAGAATCTCCCATCAAGCTCAGCTCACAGCATCCCAGGGTTGCTTCCTCATCCACCATCCTCTAAGCCTTTACAAATTCTTCTTGCAAGCCAGCTTCTAAGGCTTCTGAGCCACCCTATTCAGAAGCGTTAGGATACTGTCACAGTGATGACACCACTTCCCTGGCATGAAAAATCTGTCTTAATTAAGTTTTCTTTGCTGGCACAAATTACACAGAATCCACAAGTTAAAGGAGGAAAGGTTTATTTAGCTCAAAGTTTGTAGACGTTTCAACCCATTGTCAGCTGGCTCCAAGGTAAAGTGGCAGCAATGCAGCCAATTTGGTTATGCCAGAGAAAAGCTAAACATACTTGTTTTAAATGAAAGGCTGAAAATGCAAAGGTGGGAGAAGTGAGGAAGGAAGAGCACAAACACAAAGCATTTATTGCAGTATAATGTCATAATAGTTCTACTTTATTATTGTTAGCATGCAACTCTGCCTAATTTTCAATTAAACTGTAGTGTATGTATGCACAAGAAAAAAAAAGTTGTATAAACAGAGTTCTGTAGTATCTGTGGCTTCAGATATCCAATGGGATCCTAGAGAGTATACCTCATGGATAAAGGGGGCTGATGTGTTTTTCTTGCTCACCTAATAGACATTTTGGTGACAGGAAGTCCCAGGTTCCATGCCCCAAGCCCCGTCTTCCTCACATAGTAAATCTTCACTCCCACAGGCTGCCTCATAACACTTGAAAAATTCTCCTACTGGTTCAGGACAAAAGCCTTTGACTTATCCTCAACTCTTTTATTTTTTTATTTTTATTAATTTTATTGAGAAAGAAGTAGAAATGAGACAGTTTCAAAACAGGTTAGTAGGACAGTTACAATAATTAATACATTGCATATTGTTGTCCTTGTAGTATTTATAGGAAAAGATGCAGACATGATATCTTGTCTAAACACTATTAGTTCAAAACTTTCTTTTCATTGAACTAAGAGAAAGTAGCTATATACCTATGCTATTTTATATATATATATGCTACAAAATGGTCCTTCATTTATGTCCCCCTTTTTGTTTAGTTTTGTCAGAGGTAGGTATTCTATTGCCATTCATATATTATAGGTGCATGAATTCCACAAAGCAATCCAATATAGTCCATTCGTCTATAATAGTAGTGGGTTATCTGCATGACTGGCAATGTCCGAAGTTGTTGACTGAGCCTTTTACAGCTCAGTCAGCTCCTTTATTTTTCTCTCATCCTATACCTGATCTGTCAGGAACCTGTTGGCTCTACCAAAAAAGTGTATCTGTAAACAAATGACTTCTCCTATTCTCTGCCCCTACTCTGTTTGAACGACTATTATTTGTTCAAATAATCACTTTAAGATCACTTCAGTGACATCTAATTTGTTGCCTATCTTCTGTCCTTTCTTCATCACATTTAAAAAAATTATTTTATT